TATGGAGTTGTTAGATCAAAATACTCAATTGACTGGGGTGTTAAAAGAAGATGTGGTGGCGGATAGGAATGCAAAACTCAAGTCTCTCCATGGTTTGCTTAGGTTGGAGGAAGTATATTGGAAGCAAAGATCCATATTAAAGTGGTTGAAAGAAGTTGATCTCAACACAAAAAAATTTCTTGTAATATAGCCAATGCACATAGAAGGCAAAATGACATTTCAGGTATTGTTATCCCAGGTAATAGTAATGATGATCGAACTGGTATGAAGAATGCTATTATAAACCATTTTTTGAAGGCTTTCACATCTGAAGTTAAGTTCAATCCTAGGATGGATTGTGTGTCATTCAAAGTTCTATTGCCAGATGAAGTGAACCAACTGGAAGTCGATGTAACGTTGGAGGAACTTAAGAATGTTGTTTTCTCGCTTTCGGGTGATAAGGCACCTGACGTGATGGTTTCTCATTATACTTCTTTCAAAAATTTCGAGACATAATTAATGGGGAGCTCTTGAAAATGGTTAAGAGGTTTTTTGTTAAGGGGGAAACTATTTAAGGAGTGAATTTCATGTATTTCGCTTTGATTCCCCAGAAATTTGTGATAGATGTTTTATCATATATCAGACTCATTAGCCTGCTCATTAGTCTATACAAAATTGTGGTTAAAATTTTAGCTGAAAAGCTAAAGGTATTGCTGCCAATGATTATCTCTGGCCCCCAGTCAACTTTTATACAAGACCGTTTAATTACAGATAGCGTTTTGACAGCTCAATAATATATTCATTCAAGACTTTTGAGCCAAATGCCAGGGGTGGCCATTAAGTTGGACATTGATAAGGCTCATGACATAGTAGAATGGGGTATTCTTTTGGAGGTGATAAGAAGAATGGGTTTTTGAGACAAATGGATAAATTCAATTTTTGGATGCCTTTCTTCAGCCTATTTTTCGATTTTGATCAATGGTAGCCCTAAAAAGATTTTTCAGAGCCTCCAGGGGTTTACGTCAAGGTGATCCTCTGTCGCCTTTTCTTATGCTTCAGTCTTTTGGTTCAAAATGTAGAATGTAGGGGTAATTTCTAGAGTTTCAAAGTTGCCAATGAAGGGTTGTATGTGTCCCAACTCCAATATACATATGACACACTTATCTTTTGTGAGGCTGATTTGTTTCAAGTTAGTAATATTGCTAGGTTCCTGAGATGTTGTAAAGTAGCTTTGAATATTAAAGTTAATTTTGAGAAAACTCCACTGATTGGTATCAACTGTAATGAGTATCTTGTGAAGGAATTAGCGGACTCTGTGGGGTGTAAGGTTGATATGTTTCCAATAACCTATTTGGGCATGCCTATCTCAAATGGTAGATTAACCTTTTCTATGTGAGATAAAGTTGTGTGAAGCGTACAGTTTAAACTGGAGCTTTGGAAGCCTAAATACTTGTCTTTGGGTGGGAGAGTTACTCCGTTTAGATCATGTTTGGCAAATCTCCCAATCTATCAGATGTCTTTCATTCAAATATCAAATTCAATTGCAAAAAAAATTAAGAGTATGATGCGGAATTTCTTGTGGAGCTCTACAAGGAAGCTAGAAGTTCCATTTTTTGAGGTGGGATAGGGTTTTTACTCCAAAGAATGAAGGGCATCTGGGGATTAGAATAATCAAGCCCTACTTTGCAAATGGTGGTGGCGAAGCTTTCATTTTAAAGACCAATTGTGGTATCAAGTTTTATCTGTTAAATATGGTCTTCATAGATAGGGTATGTGGATAGGAAGTGGCGGAGGTCATGCGAATGGATCGAGTTTTTGGGGGTCCATTTTACTTCGCAAGCCTTTGATCGAGTAGAATTTATGTTGGTGTCTAGATATTGGCAACCTAAGTTCTTTTTGGCACCACAAGTTGCTTGGGGACTAGCCACTAAAAGTTGTTTACCTGAAAATCTTTGACAAGGTGACTTACCCAAATGCTAAAGTGGCTAAGATCTATGAAATTAGGGGAAACCAATTAATGTGGAATTTGAAGTTTCCTTATAACAGGTTGAATAATGGGTTCTACTTACGGCTGAATACCTTATTGGACGAGTTGAATCAATTATATATCCCACAGAGTATGGAAGATGAGATTGTGTGGGAGATTGAGAGTGATGGGTTATTCATGTTTAAATCAGTGTACAAATTGTTATTTCATGATAGATGGCATTGGTCTTTACCACAAGCTGCTCAAATTTGAAAGTGGCCAATTCCCCACAAAGTCTAGGTGTTTTTGCAGTTGGCTGCCCAATATAAGATTCTTACAATAGATAATCTTATCAAGAGAGGTAAAATCCGTCTTAATGTTTGTCTTATGTGTAAATAATATGGTGAATCTGAGCCCTATTATTTATGCATTGCACATTTTGTCTCTAAGATTTGGTGATGATTTTCATCGCAGTTAGGGTTAAGTGTGGCCATGTCTCATTGTGTTTTGGGGATTGTCACTTAGTTGGCATTCCTGCACTCACCGAAGGTCGACAATGTGACATGGAAAGTTGCAAGAGGAGTGGTAATGTGGGAAGTCAGAAAAGAGTGGAACAGAAGAATTTTTAGTGGAGATAGTTTATCTTTCAATAGGGTCCACAATAATATCAAGCATACACTTTGTTGGTAGTTGTCAGTTACGAAACAAGGATGCTGTATTTCGGAGGTGGACGTTACGCTAAATCTTCCAAATCTATTTAAAATGGGTAATGTCATATGTCGGCTGAGAAGTAATTGGGGTCCACCTTTATAGGGAGGTTTTAAATTAAACTTTGATGGGAGTTCTAATGGGAATCCTGGTACCGTAGGAATTGGAGGGGTAGTAAGGGACCGGAATGGGGTGTTAATCTTTAACTCTGCGAGTCCCATTGGTGTGGTTACTGCTAACCATACCGAAACGCTAACTCTCTTTCATGGTCTGAGGCTTTTCAAAAGTAGGAACGTGGGTACTTGTTGTGTGGCTTCATTAGATGGTGCAATAAGGAACGAAAGGTGTCGTGGGAGCTCAAATCAGTGTGACTTCAAAAGTTAGATATGGCAGAATCCCTCACTATCTCCTTTCATTTTGTTTATAGGGAAGCTAATTCTATGGCAGGCACTCTTGCTAAGAGTGATTTATCTTTGCCTTCGCTACTTGTATCCGATGATGTAATTCCTACCATGTAATGTTTGCATATCATTCAATTAAGTAACATCGAGAAAGGGGCCGGGGTCATGGTGGTCGTACCCTAAGTCGTAGTCACCACATTGTGGTATTCACTCTCACCACTAACACCGCCCCACTAATACCTTCAAAGAAGCTAACTCCTAATCTACTTGAAAAACGGGTAGGGACCTGTCTTCTCCACTGAACTACCCAAAAAAATAAATTACTTAAGTAACATTCGTCAAAACAAGGGAAAAAGTTTATAGAGAGCCGAGGCTCTAAACAATCAAATTAGAGCGCACCTCATAAATTTCACTAGAAGAGGTTGTTTTGATGCCCAAATATCTTCAAATTGATCATCTTGACATCAAGATGCATGAACATGAGAAAAAAATAGATTTCAAGTTTTTGAAATATTGTATCTTGAAATGCATTTTTGGACCGTCAATTTTCAAGTTTTCATAGATCTGCTCAATTTACATTGTTTTTAAAGCTTTAAATTTTATAATTAGATATGAATATATATTTTAAGGCTATCACAAAGATTTCCAGTGTTGAAAACATATTTCTCGATACTATTTGAAGGTGGGCTCTACTTTGATTGCTTAGAGCCTCGGCTCTATAGAAACTGCACCTAAAAAAAAATACCTGAGATTGTATACAATGAGACCATTGTCCTTTGGTACAGGGATGTCACAATTACTTATAACTATCTGATGTAAAATTCGATAGTTTGAGTGTGTCACAAAGTTCGACAAATTTTTTTAAAACTTTGAGCATGGTTAATGAAATAAATACAGCCCCCTAATTTCACATCCAATGGTCAAGATTAATTGTGACCACTTTTTACTAAAGGTAAATAATCTCATTATATATTTTCCTAAATACACTCTCCATGAAAAGTCATTTACACCGTCATTTCAAAATTGAAGTCGAAAGACACATAACAAAAGGCCAATTCAACACCCTGCCCAAAATGAGTAGGGATTATATACTATGAAACTATTTACCTTTGTTGAAAGGAGGTCACATCTTCTCCTAGCCATTAGATATAAAGTTGCATGCTTGGGGTGTGTCATGAAGTTCGAAAAATTTCTTTTGAACTTTGAGTTGAGTCAATAACACACTCACAACCTCCTGATTTAAAATCTAATGTATAAGAATGATTGTGATCTACTTGTATTAAAAGTAAATGATCTCTTAATATACTTTCCTAAATGGGTGATTGGGTGAGTTTTTACGAAAAAACCCACCTATTTACTCTTATATCCTCTTATGAGCATGAATCCCCCCTCTCAATCGTTCTACATAAGTTTCTCCAGAGTTTAATGCTTCCTGAGCAATTATTTTTTCGAATAAATATTGTATAAGGTTTAAGAAAAAGTTTATACAAGGCATAGGCTTGGCAATATAAAGCCTATAAAAAAAACTCTCTTCTTTTTTTTTATAAATATTCTTAACTTGATTAAACAAATCTACTCAAAAAAAATTACATGATAAGAAATAGCTAGAGCGAGCAATGAAGCCCCTTCTTTGCCCAGTTATCCGGAATCGCCAAGGTGGCCGGTCCCAATTACTTTAACAAGTCCGATTTGGCTCGCCCGAGGTTTTTCCCACTGCTTTTTTGACATACAGGCTAGGCACCATTCTAACCACACTTTTTCTTAGAGTGCGTTCATGATTCATTGACCATTAAACGACCAACATGGCTACATACTCGCATAGCCCTTTGCTTTTAGATTTGACGATTGTGCCCCACAATTTACATCCACGTATGCACCAGTCGGCCCATTGAACTGAAATATGTATGGTGTATATATGGAGTGATATCCAAAACGTGTGGTGAGCTTTCAAGTTGAGGCTCTTTGGCCAGTGTCAAAAGATGTGTGTGTTTGATGCTGTTTCTCTCTCTAACTATCAATTCCTCAGCAATGTCTCTCTCTCCCTCTCTTCCCCGCCTAAACTCTTCCTTCATATCCAACTCTCGTTTAAAGCTTTTCTCTTCTCCCCCCAAATGCACAGCAAGGATCCAACGGCCACCCTCTTCTTATCCATGCATCAACGCCATAGATCTCGACCAAAACACAGTCTCTCTCTCTCTCCAAATTCATGGGTTTTTCGTAATTTATGAATGACCTTTATTTATATCCTCTCTCTCTCTTAATGGTGATTTCAGGTGGTGGCAATCTCTGTCGGGGTGGTCAGCATTGCGGTGGGCATAGGAATCCCAGTGTTCTATGAATCCCAAATAGATAATGCAGTTAGTACTTAACCCCCCTTCACTGGTTCTTATTTTTGGGACTTTTGCAGGAATATTGATTCTTTATTGGTAAATCTTTCTGTCTTCACACGTATAAGTAATGTGCTTGAAGTTTAGATGCTTTGTTAGCCATTATTAATGTATTGTATTATCAGATAGCTGTGTTGTGCATACCTATTTTTAAACTCATTGTCAAACATTTGACTTATCAAAAAGCTATTGTACCTCTAGCTTTTTATAATCTAGACACACATGAATTGTGTCGAAAGACGCAGAGACTCATCCCTTTTTGTTCATATTCAATACTCCCAAAGACAATGCATGTGTTTTTCATAGATTTATACACATTTAAGTTGGTTGGTTCTCCTTTGTTTCTTTTTCCAAACTGCTAGGTACAAAAAAGAAGCAAGATTCTGAATACTATACCACTCTCAAGCTCTCAAAAAAAATTTCTTTTTTTTTGATAATTTAGTGGGGATGACGAACCCCTGCCTGTTTTTTAAATCATTAGTGGTTTTTTAATGCCATAGGTGATAATGAAATCCTAACCTTAACAGGGCACAAGTGGTGCTACCACCACGACCCCAACCCCATTCTCAAAGTGCCACAAGTGGTGCTACCACCACAACCCCAACCCCATTCTCAAAGTGCGACACTACTGATGGTAATAACATTGTGCAGGCAAAGAGGGAGAACAAGCAACCATGCTTTCCATGCGATGGAACCGGCGCTCCACCCTAACTCAACATGTTGATCTATATTACAACAGAACAACGCAAACACCATATGCAATATGGTTCATCTATCATGCCATAATGGAAAGTCCACAGCACGTAGTATGAAAGCAATGTACTACATGTTCATCTCCAGCTGTTTGGCATGCATTTTCAATGATGGACATCGGGCATGAACCTTCCCCTGCCACATCCACTCAAATGTAGGAATGGTTCATCTCCAACATCTGTTCTTAGGAACACATGGAGATTGGGAGGTCATGTTTACTGTTCGTGTACTATATATATAGTTATAGTTATATATCGTTCATCTCCAACATCTCTCTCTCAGAGGCAGTTTGCCACTGGATCATATGCTTAGGGTGCTTTTAACCATTTTACAAGCGAAATAGTCATACCTCTATATGGTTGAAAATGTGGTTATTGTAGAGAGGTGCAGGTTTTGCATGGGTACTGGCAATGTGACGGTGGAACTCAGTGGGGGCGAGAAGGAAGTCTCACGGTGCATCAATTGTGAAGGCGTAGGCTCCTTGACTTGCACCACGTGCCAAGGCACTGGTATTCAACCTCGATACCTCGATCGCAGGTAAAAGCCAATCGAAGGAAAGCTCAAAATATGAGACAATTTATGAGCACCGACAACTCAAAAATATGACAAACACTCACATTCATTATTTTAGGCGTATTTACATCAGAAACTCAAATAACTGAACTTCTTGCATTATAAGTTTTTTCTTGCTATTAATACAAATTCCATTTCGCAGGGAATTCAAAGATGAAGACTGAAAATATCAAAACCAAGAACACACCATGCTGCTCCCAGAAATACCTAGTAGCCAGATTCCAGCCACTGGATATTGCTGCATAGCATTTCTGTTGCTTTCATTGTTGTTAATGTAATAAAACAGAGCAAACAATTTTTCAGAAAAGACAGTACTTTGATAGCAACAATTCTTTACATAACCAAAACATAGTCAAGACTTCGCTTTCTTCTTTTGCTTGCCGGCTTCCAGTCTCTTTCTAGCAGCTTCAAACTCTTCTGCTGTTGGTTCAGAACCAAATTTATTGCCATTTTGGCTTTTGTCACCATATTTTGTTAGGAAGGACGAGAACATGGAATCAATCAGCTCTTTCCTTGCCTCTCTGCGTTGCGAGATGGCAGCCATTAGATCTGTTTCAGCTTTCTTCTTGGATCTGCAAAAACCAGAAAATAAGAAAGAAATTTTAATTTAGAGAAGTGCACTAGAAATTTCATGTTCATTATATTTTTATGTATTGGAGTTCATAATATTTTTATACTTATTGGATTGCTTGAGTATTTCCCATTTGAAGGATATGGTGATCCCACTCCAAGTTCCCCCAGTGCGAAGTGTGTCAGCAAATGCATTCATTTATTTATACACTAGCAATAATGAGTACTTCGGTTTTCTACTTAGAAATTTTCATTTCATTAATACTTTTTTCTTCAACAAAGGGAAGAAAAATCATAAATTCTATGGAACAAGCAAACCTACTTTTTTGGTCGCAGAGGGTCTATGGGTGGCTGTCTTTCAGCAATCTTCTTCACCCATTTGTGATATGTCTTGGTCTCCTTTAGTTCTCCTATACAAAAGAAATTAGATTAAGTGACATTATTAGGAAGAGAAAAGTAAATAATTAAGGAAATAGGAAATAAAATCATTCTGAGAGTCCATAAATCTATGGTTTACTCCTGCTCATTGATTATGGTGAGTTCAAGTGCAAAACCACAAGGGCAATTCAATGGAAAGTAAGGCTTGATAACGTCAGTCCATTTAATGCAATATATTCGAGATTCCACCATGGGCACAACAGAATTGGCTTCATATCCAAATCCAGACCACACACACACTGCAAAATAACCATATCAAGTTTTTGAAGCCAGGCGCAGCTGCCTCGGTCCTTTCCATTCACCACCCTCGTTATTTGACGTTATGGAAAATTTCTTCATTGAGACCATTGTGCTCATATTATGCACTAAACAAGTGCAAAGTTGGAATATAGACTTTGCAAGCCACAACCCCACACATGTGGCATCCCAAACGAACACATACCTGTGGACAATATTAATGGTGCCCATTGTGACACCTTTGCAATTTTATATGGAATTGAATGAGAAGTACCTATACGTTGTAGTAATTGAGAGAATGAACTTTCCTAGAAATTTGCAATCTGGAGCTTGTAGACAAAAATATATAGGAATTTCTCCTTTATACTATGTAATATGATGGTCTTATACAGATTGAAAGGGGTGTGGAAATTATGCATCATTGACAGTAAACAAGAGGATGGAAAATTCAGGGAAATTTCCTGCTTTGGCACTTGTTAGCATAAGCATATATGCATGCAATTATCTATTTCTATGTGATATTATGGTGATGCAGCTTGTGTGAATCGATGGTCCAGATTGGTTATCTTCCTCAGGCATCCAATTCTAAAAGATGAACAAAGGCTACATATTATTGTCCACTTAGACCTGAAACTATTGGCAGCTGTCAGGAGTTTCCCAATTATACCATCCAAAAATTGAGATATTGCCTTAAAGCATTCAAGGCCAGTTAATTCAACATTTGAAAACTGAAGCACCATTGCTTGTTGTTAGAAATAAAAAGAATAAGCTTTATTGTATTTGATGGACATAACTGTCATTTATATATAGTCCTTATTTCTCTTATGTCTCTAAATAAGAGCAATATTGTCCATAAGCTGTAATTAGGGTTATTATTTGACGTTACAAGAGGGGTAGAGGTCATAAGTGACCCCTAAGCCACTCACTTTCCCCCCCCCCCCCACTCTCTCTCTCTCTCTCTCTCTCTCTCTCTCTCTCTCTCTCTCTC